TGGGTCTCTGTGTGAATGGAAATATCTTAAGAAAAGACAGCAGACTGTTGAATAAAGATGTGAATTAGGCTTTCAGTTGTTGCACAAAATTACTGATTTAAAACTCAGAAATTACATTTTATTTCTGGCAACGAAGGACAGAGAATAAGAGAGAGGGGGGATTTTTGTTCTGAAAGGGATATAATGAAATAGCAGCCACCTTTTCAGCATCTATATTTTTGAGAAGGTGCAGCCAAAATGTGGGGGAGCCTTCACATACAATCAAACCACACTCCTTTTAGCCCAGAGACTTGCTGTGAAACTATTCCTTCTTTTCCTCCCCAGCAGGCTCAATGGTTGTTTACCCTGTTATTTTGCAGAGACTCTGTTAAAGAAAACACAGACGTGTAGTCACAATCCAGCTTTGGCAAACCTTTAAAATTTTCTCTTTGTTATTGCTGGACTGGCTTTATCAAAAGCCTTTTTCCTTTTCTCCTGTTTCTCACATTGTTTTGCTGGAAAGCAGACTCAAAGTGGTTCCTTTGAGGTAATTTTTTGTTTCTCAGTGTTAATGGATTTATTACCTCAGACCATCACTTTCAATATGAGGTTAATAATACTGGTGTACTAACGAGTTGCAACCAAGACACTAGAGGCCCAGGCTCAGGAAGACCTGGATCATCTCTCACAGACATGTATCATCAATTTTTTGACTGTTGGCTATCATTTTTCTGCACTATCCATGAAGGAGGTGTGCTTAGACTGAGGATGTGGATTTCATCCATAAAAGCTTTTTACTTGTTTTATTTTTTTAGTGGTCCAATAAAAAGTAGCACCCACTCCTGCATTTTGGGTAATCTTGGGTTGTTGCGACATTTACTGAGATAGTCCAGGTGACTAGGGCTACCAAGTAAACTGCATCCTATTCCTTGAAGTCCAGGACCAAAATGTGAGATCGGAAGTAGGTAACTTTGTGATGTCCCTGAGAAGCCACAGAGGCTAAGTAGGCCAGGCTTGGGAGGAGTCTATAACTGCTTTGGAGCCAGCTGATTGTGGCAACGGGCATGAAAGGGATCCATATCAATGGCTCTGTGTGTATTATGTGCCATCAAGTTGGAATCAAATCATAGCAGCCCTAATAGTGCTTTCAAGATAAATGAGATATTTACAGAGCAGTTCTAGCAGTTCTGCACACACACCCATAAGTTTCTATGGCTGAGCTGGGATTTGAATATAGGTTTCCTGAGTCCTAATCTCTCACTCTATGTAGAACATCACATTGGGCATCGCAATGGGTCTAAAATCCTGATAAAACCCAGCGTACCATATAATAAGAGCTGGAGGGGGGGAAATATTTTGTAGGAGTTGAGCCTGTAGCAAAAGGTAGCCAGAGGTTGCAGCCATCCCTGGTGCATCTCATACTCTAAACAGTGTGATCTACAGTACACGTGACCTATGGGGAGTTTTTTTTCCCAGAGCCTGCACTTCTGCTACTGCTGCAGCAGTGGTTGCTGGGGCTTTTTGGAACACTTACCACTGGCCCTGGAACACTTTTTCCAAGCCTTGCACAGTACTGTCATGGTTTGTGCAACAAGCAAGCTTTGCAATGTGAGTCCAAAAGCTGGCACCCCACTCCTTACCTTCCTATCTTTGAGGTAAACATGTTTCCTGATGGCCTGACAGGCCCAAGGGTATCCACTCCGTGTTCTCTTCCATGTCTCTTTCCTTTGCTTCTGCCTTTTTGGGGTAGAGTTCTGGTACCAGTTGGGAATGAATGGAGATGAGCATCCAGGCTTTAAATCAATCATCAATCAATCAATCAATCAATCAATCAATCAATCAATCAATCAATCAATCAATCAATCAATCAATCAATCAATCAATCAATCAATCAATCAATCAATCAATCAATCAATCAATCTCTTTTCCTCATGGTAAGAATTTTACAAATCCCAGTCTATTAGCTGGTGACTCTGTTTTCTACTTTCATTTCCAGACAGGCTCACTAGACTTCTTCTCTTTAGGAATGTAGAGTTGCTTTTGTTTTTAAGTAGTTATTAAGAAAAATACAATTTCTGCCTGGGGTATAATACATTCACTCTTGCCCATAGTAGCTGGGAAGCCTAGATGTTTGAGTTTATGGTGCTCTGACATAAAATAAGACTAAGGAATGGAGTGGGGAAACCGGAGAAGCTGAGGATGAATTCCTTTCTTTAAAAAAATCTTTATAGAAAGAATATGGAAACAACAGTGACAATAACAAAATAATAGTACAGGTTTTTAATTAGAAATATATCATCTGAATTAATAAGGCTGAATTCCTGTGCATATCTGCCTGGCAGTGAGTTTCACTGAACTGAAAAGAGGAGAGTTATAAGTAGAAAGCAAAGGATTGCATTGCAGATATATAGTGGGGCAAATACATTCAATGTCAGCCTGTTCACAGGGTGGGGCTCCATCAATACTGAGATGCTTTTAAGGCTCAACTTCCTAAACAATCTTTCTGTGGTGGGAATGTCACCTTTTGGTAAATCCTTTTGCTTTGATGCAAGATCATAAAAACCAGTAATGAGCAGGATTTATTTCTGGTCCTTTTAAACCTCATCAGGTATGCTGGGAGAAAAAGATGAGAACGTTGAGTGCGTTGATCCATAGGCAGTCAAGGGAGTGGAAGCCTAATTTCTCTCGTCTCACAACTAGAAGCGTAATTTGCCACGAGACTGACTAATTAAGTTCAATGTCTCTTTGGAATTTTAAGAGTTAGCATGCAGGGGGGTAGGTTCCTCCTTCAGTCTCAGGTATGTCAAATTCTAAAAATTGTTGTTCTTTAGTCGTTTAGTCGTGTCCGACTCTTCGTGACCCCATGGACCAGAGCACACCAGGCCCTCCTGTCTTCCACTGCCTCCCGGAGTTGTGTCAAATTCATGCTAGTAGCTTCGATGACACTGTCCAACCATCTCGTCCTCTGTCGTCCCCTTCTCCTCTGGCCTTCACACTTTCCCAACATCGGGGTCTTTTCCAGGGAGTCTTCTCTTCTCATGATATGGCCATTCTAACAATAGACAGGCAGAAATCTTAAACATTACAATATTCTTCAGGCAATTCTAGTTCTGTATTGTGTTGAAGCCAGAATGTCTCATTATTGTTCTCTCTGCAGGGTCAACCCTACCAGTACGCAGTGTGAGGCAACTATCTAGGGTAGCAGATTCTTCCCCAACCCCTTGGCTTTGGAGATAAGTGCTGTGTGTGCCACACAACCTGACTCACAACCTGTGAACCAGACTGGTATTCTCAGTAGTAGTGGAGGAACCTATTCCTTCCCAGTGGTGAAATAAACTGCAGTTACTGGTCCAGTTCAGTTTCTGTAAATGGAATGAAGGAGGTGCCATCTTGTCCTTTGCTTCAGGTAGCAAAATGACTTGGGTTGGCCCTGAGATGCTATGATTTTTATGATACAGCAAGATAATGTGGCATCTGCCATGCCTCTGCAGTGTCAGGGGTGTTTGCTAGGACCAGGAATGTTTGGCATAGGTAGCTACTGCCATCTATTGACAAAATGAAAAGATATAATATTGATGGCCTTTTAACTTTTTCTTACAATTATTCAGCAAAGACATTTGCTGTTGTACTAGCTGTATATTGTAACTGTTATGAAAGCAGTGCCTCCTACAAGTAGATTAGAGGTCAGCAGTCAGTTGGTCACAGGCCACACATGGTCACTACAGTAGCTTATGCAGCCCCCACATGTTGCTAAGTCCTCACGCACATACCCCTGTTGAAAGTGAATTGACAACAATGAGGAGTTGTTATTCCTGGTGGTCTCCAAGAGTTGTAATTCTTTCTCTTTTTTTTCAAATGAGGCACAACCCACCAACTTGTTTTGCCTTCTGAAGGATTTTTTTTGTTATGTAACGAACGAGATGTTCAGACACTTCCAATCTCAATGTCGCGGGGGGGGGAGGGGAGACAGTGCAGCCCACAATAAGTCTGTGGAGCTGCCGCATGGGATCTCAGACCTTTCCCCTCTCTGTAAGAGATGGTATTGTGATTCCTTAAAAATATCGTGCTGGAGGAGAGCTTTGTGGATACCCTGGGCTGCCAGCAAGACAAACAAGTGGGTCCGATATCAAATCAAGCCTGAGCAGTCTCAAGAGCCAAAACTGATCAAACTGAAACGGCCATACTTTGGGCACACAGGGAAGACAGGAGTCCCTGGAAGAGACAATAATGCCAAGGAAAGCTGAATGCAACAAGAAAAGAGGAAAACCAAATATGGGATGGATTGACTATATAAATGAAACCACAGCCTTGAGTTTACAGCACCAAAACAGGACATTTTGGAGGTCATTAATTCAAAGGGTCGTCAGATGTTGGAAGCAACTTGATGCCATGTAACAACAACAGTTATGTTCCTGTGTCTTGTAAATTGAAGATCTTTAATAAAGACAGTTTCCTGGAGGAGAAGTCTTTCTTTATTTCCTTTTACGGGTATTCAGAGGACACTTCTACAGTATCCCTGTGCTACAAATAAGCTATTTGCTACTGTCACCATTATCTATTACCCTCTAGCTTGTCCCTACTCTCCCCATGAACCATGGGGCTCTGGACTTCATAAATGATGAAGTCTGGGACAGAGACTGATGTTACTTTGGTGCTGAAATTGCTCGCATTGTGGGCTGCGATTCCCCCATCATTTCAAGATAATAAGTTTGCTCCTCACCCCAGCCACTTCTAGGCAAACTCCTTTGCCATAAATCTCTAGCAATCTCTGCCCTAAAGGAAACTGATGTTCTAAAGACTGCCCCGTGAACTTCCTGCTATGCAGGAAAGAGGAAGCAAAGCACATAACAATGAGGGGTTTTTTTGTGTTTTAAATCCCTTTCTTAAGAACTGTCAGTTCGCCAGCTTGGATTCTGTGAACATCCCAAGATGGAGGGGCGGGGGGGGGGGGCTCCTACTTTAAAAACACACACCTTGTAATGTTGAAAGGCAATATGTTCTAACTCTAATTAATACTTGTCTCATCAGAACGTCCTTCATGCCTGCAAGAACTGAGAACTGAAATCGAAAGTTTAGTAGTGTTTTGGTATTGCAGATAACAAGAGTGAAGGCTGAAGTTTTCTTTTTTTTATTTGTGGCCTCTTGGTTCCTCAGAATTTCTCACAGTGGATGTTCTTCCACCCCACCCAACACATCTTGTGTGTTGTATAACAGTGGACATTTTGATTGCCTGCATATAGCTTTAAAAGGGGGCCTGAGAAGAATACTTATTTATTATACAAACAGGATTTCTTGGTGTTCCATTGTTTAACAGAATTCTGGTGTTTCAGAAGAGAGGATCTGCTATCATTTCAACATAAACAGCTGCAAAAAGTTTCTGTTCCTTTTAGGTCTGGAGATTTGTCACCTGATAACTAATTCCTGTTTTACTACTAGACAGAACATATTTGTTTTCTTTGCTTGCAAATTGGGATATAAGCAGCAAGACAGCAAAATGGTTCCAAGTCTTCTTTGTGATTTATTTTATTCCTAGGCATACTTTAGCATGTAAATATTAATATCTCTAGAGCCACCATCTTCAGTTGCAAACGATGGTGATTCCTCCTTAGTGGGGACGAAGCAAATTGCACGGACAGATGAGCTTAGTACAAGATGTCCTATCCAACCGTTCACGAAAGTTTTGGATGTGGGACAGAGGAGTGGGTAAGTATGGAACAGAAATGATTCGAAATGTCTGCTTTTAACATATTGATGTGTTTTTGACACTCCTTCACTGATGCTGCAGTGGTTGTATGACACCTACTTAGGCTCCTTAGGAGAAAGAGAAACAATTAAAAGTTGTGGAATGTGCTTATGAGTAAAGCCTCATAGGATTGCAAGCTTAACAATGTTTGTGTTTTTATCAGGCAGAGCTTGGAAAAGTTACTTTTTTGGACTACTATATGCTATAATACTCCAATGGTTGCAGAGTTCTAGTTGTAGCAAAAGTTACTTTGCAAGCACTGACAGCAATTGTATATATTGCAATATAACAGAATTCCTAACATTACTATTCCTTGAAGGAACACACATGCTCTGATGAAAGGAAGTAGAAAGCGCTAAGAATTTGTGTCTTCCAGTTGTAGAAACTCTGTTTTTTTTAGTATAACAGACCAGTCCCACTTAAGCACCCTTAGAGTACTTGCGTCTGGATTGTTCTTTGTGATACCAGTTAAGGGCAGTTGTTCCTTTTTCATCTCTTTTATTGACTTTCTTGGTGGGGGTGGGGTGGGGGAAGGCAGACAAACTGGCAGGGAAGCTGGTGGTCCACCACACTTCTTTCCTCTTCTTTATTACAGCAGAGGGAAGAAGCAATGAAAACAAACAGTTAAGACAATGCTGATATGCTGCACCTCTCAGGAAAAAAACTGAAATTGTCCTCCCAGAAACAGGAGGAGGGGGAAAGGAGGGAATTGTTTTAATACCCCCCCCTTTTTAAAAACTTTCTTTCAACAGACAGTCTAAATAGGGTTGCTTGGAATGAGTATGCCACGTGGATGCCATGTGACAAGGAACACCATGTGGTGTGCCATGTCACACCACAGGGCATGCTGCAGCATTACCCAACCTTAAGCAACCCCATTTTGCCCAATGCAACCTGCCCATATAGTCAAGTCCTTTATTAGTCTTAAAATTGCTGCATATTTTTGTTTTCATTTTTATTGTTGCCGGATCCTGACGACAGCAATGATGACAATGACGTTCCAACGAGTTGACTCTTACAGCAACCCTTTCCAGAGTTTTCTATATAGAGAGTACTGAGACATGGTTATCAGTCCCCTCCTCTTGGTTACACAGGCTGGCTTTTCTCCTGGGAGGTACAGTGCAGAATCAAACTCCGAACTGCTGGCTCCCCAGCCAAGTACTTAACTCACTGAATTATCTAAGGCAGTGGTTCTTAACCTGGGCAATATCGTCCCCCGGGGGTGATTTCGTTTTTCAGGGGGACGATGGAACGAAAAGGGGCAACGTGTGGGTGAAGGAACAGAAGGGGGCGACAGAGCCGCTGCTGCCATTGAGGAAGTTATCATCGCCCCCCTCCCCGCGCCACCGTATCCAGAGCAGCTGGTGCTGGCTGCAAATGACGTGCCACCAGCTCCGCTGCCGCCATTGAGGAGTTTATCATCGCCCCCCTCCCCATGGTGTCGCCGCAGGGAAGGGAGGCAATGATAACTTCCTCAATGGCTCAAGGGGGCGTTTCAAAAAGATTAAGAACCACTAATCTAAGGCACCTGTTCTAACACAGCTACCCAAACCAAAAAGGGATACAAATGGAGAATGTTAGTATGGATCCCGCCCCAAATTCAATGAATGATGTAGTTATTCAGCAATCAGTATAAGGCCTTTTCCTATGCCCCTTGTTTTCTCACACTTGCATTGCTGACTGGTGGCAGCAATAATTTTACCTTGTATGGATAACTGATGCAGAGAAATAATTTATTTTTGGTTGCTAAATATGAAGTGAACTATGATGTCTTGTAAAATCTTAACTAAGTCCACTCTTCTGCTTCCTCTAAATCCCATTCCTGCTGCCTTATTTGGCTGTAACCTTTCGATTTTCCCAGGCTTTTTAATCCTCTGCAAATTGGTTCTATGCAGCTCATTACTTGTTTCATTACTCCTGGTTGATTTACCATTACTCTTTAATACTGTGTTGTTCTAAGGTTCTTGTTTTGCTCTGTTGTCATGCTGACTTTTTGTGAGCTGCCCTGGGAAACCGTTAAAATCTCTGAAATGAATAAATTAATTAGTAAGCAGGCATGTAAATAAATAAACATTAACCAGCATTTTACCTTTAAGTATTTATGCATCACTGTGAAGACTAAAATTCTAAGCAGAAAAATCTGCGGTTTACTGATTTATCGATCAATGTACAGTGTGAGATAAATGGGAGATTGTATCTGTGAAACCAGTGCAGAACTGCTAACACAACAAAGAGTTTTTTGGCACCTGACAGAGGTATTTTATTTGGCACAAACTTTCATGGACTGTAGTCTGCTTCTTCAAATGCATATTTTCTCCAAATACTTGCAGCATTGCTGTTGACTATCCCTACGTGCTAGAGAATCCATGAGCATGATGAATGCATCAAACCATGATGACTACAAGTTTGGCCTGCATTGGCATACAACAAAAAGAAGAAGCTGCATGCTGGTGTGCATCACTTCTGCTTGTTCATCCTACTTAGCATGGCAAGCTTAAAGCAGAAATTAAGCATTTAGTATGTTGTCCGTCCACTTCATGGTTTGCTAAAGTAGGGAGTCAAGAGATAAAAGGAACAACAGGAAAGATTGGCCTTGGAGTTCAAAACGAAGCAGGGCAAAGGCTAATAGAGTTTTGTCAAGAGAACAAGCTGGTCGTCACAAACACTCTTTTCCAACAACGCAAGAGATGACTCTACACATGGACATCACCAGATGGGCAATACCAAAATCAGATTGATTATGTTCTCTGCAGTCAAAGATGGAGAAGCTCTATACAGTCAACAAAAACAAGGCCTGGAGCTGATTGTGGTTCTGATCATCAGCTTCTTATAGCAACACTCAAGCTTATACTGAAGAAAGTAGGAAAAACTACTGGGCTAGTCAGAAATAATCTAAACCAAATCCCTTATGAATACACAGTGGAAGTAAAGAACAGATTTAAGGAACTAGATTTGCTGGACAGAGTGCCTGAGGAACTTTGGATAGAGGCTCCTAACACTGTACAGGAGGCAGCAACAAAAGCCATCCCAAAGAAAAGGAAATGCAAGAAAGCGAAGTGGCTGTCCAACGAGGGCTTACAAATAGCAGAGAAGGGAAACAAAATAAAAGGGAGAAAGGAAAGGTACAGAAAATTGAATGCAGACTTCCAAAGAATAGCAAGGAGAGACCAGAGGGCCTTCTCAAATGAACAGTGCAAAGAAATAGAGGAAAATAATAGAAAGGGGAAAACCAGAGATGTGTTCACGACAGAGGATGAGATGGTTGGACAGTGTCATCGAAGCAACCAACATGAATTTGACCAAACTCTGGGAGGCAGTGGGAAGACAGGAGGGTTTGGTGTGCTCTGGTCCATGGGGTCACAAAGACTCAGACACGACTTAACGACTAAACAACAAATGTTGTCCACACTCTGGACCCTGGCTTGTTGCTCCCATTGTTCTTGGTTTACAAATCCTGACTTGGGTGAGAAACAACAAGTCAGGATCCCAGATCTACAAAAGCGAATACATATGGCTTTGAGCTGTCTTTTATTCTATCCTAGGTTGTCTTATGCAAGTAACAGGCCATTCCATTTATCTTCCTGGAAGCACACGGCATTGAGAGAGGTAAGGAAAGCTGGTCTCTAGACTTGTTTCTGGGCTGCAACATCCCAGAATTCTTCCTGGTGAAATCTGGGAATTGAAGTCCCAACAATCCAAAAAGTCCCATTCCTAGTAACTGAGAGTGTCGTGCAGATGGAAAATGTTATGAGTTACTTTTAAAGCATTATTTTCCGTTACGTAAATTGGTATTTTTATCCTGTTCAATGGAATGTCAATTTTAGCACATTATTTCCAAGCTGTGGAAATGACACATCATGAAACTCAGTGAACTACAATGGGATAAGCGCACTGCCTGCATTGCCCTAGAGGAATATTCTGGAGGTGCTGCATTTCAAGCTGACTTTTGAAAATGGGCAACTTCCCTGGCACTGGCCTTCATGTTTCAATGTAGCCTTCACAAAGTCCTATAAGTAGGTTGATGGCTGCACTCTACCTGCATCAAAAGGCCATTGATTATCCTGCATTATTTATGGATTTTAAGGCTACTTAGCACCATAGAAGATGCAAGACAGGGGTATTTCTAGCGAGGCTTAGCAGCAAAACAAAGTAACCCCAAGAGTGAAACAGCAGCTCCAAAGTGGAACACAAGTGAAGGTGGGACAAACTAGTCCGTACTTGGCAGCTGCTACTTCAGCCATGGGAAATCAACCAGCGAGGAATGATTCCCTATCCACAAGGTGGAGGTTTCCTGAAGGTTGGAGGAGTCCCAGATTGACCTGTTCCTGCCACCCAACAAATGAAGGCCAGGAGGAAGAGACTGACAGTTTAGGGAATAGAGTCTGCCATTCTCCTGGAAGGAAGGGAGTTAACGTTCAAGCTCCCACTGAAGGCAAGGCTGCTGCCTGAGTTTTCTTCCCTTCCTTGCCTGCATGCCTGCTGTGGTGTGGTTCTATCTGGAGGGGAAAGAATGTGCAATGTTGCAGATGTGTGCAGGATTCCCTTGGGAGAGGTAGTTGCTCTGTATTTGGATCCTTAGAATAAGAAGGCACGGGGATGTTAGATGCATTCAGCTTACTGAAAACATCTGTATATTTAATAATGGGTGGTGGCAGGAAGTTCTGTTTAGGAAGTGTGGCACAGCCTTAGAAATGGGTGCTGAAGCTGGAGGGGGGGGCGAAAAGTCCATTTTACTGTGGCTTGAACATTTTGAGTCAAGACTAGAGCTTCATTTTATCTTCAAGCAGGAATGGGGGAAATTCAAGGTAAGATTTAAAGGCTTGTTCTTAGCTACATTCAGGATTAAACAGCTCAGAAGCAGCGTGCATTGGGAGCATGTACTGTATAGAGATTACTTTTTATGGGCTAATAATATTAATGTAGATAGGAGTACTGTATTCCTAATGAAGAGTAATCCTGGGTAGTTTTGGAGAATGTGTTAAGGAAACGGTGACTTTCTCTTTTCGGCCACTACTGAGGCTGGCACAGGTCATGGTATGCATAATTTCTGCTGATTACTAAGAAAGCATGTGTGAAGTTGCCTGAACACTCTGTCATGTTATGTTAACTGCATACAAGTCAATTCTGGCTTATGATGACCTTTTAACAAGGTTTTCTAGATATATTCAGAAACTGTTTACTGTCCCCTTCTTCTGGGGCACTATAGGGCTGTGCAGCTTGCCCAAGCCTACACAGGCTGGCTATCCTCTCAGGAAGCACAATGGGGAATCGAGCTCCCAGCCCTTAACTCCATACCCATACACCTGACTCACTGAGTTATAATCACTCATTATTATTATAACTACTGCAATATTAGCCATCACGTCTGGTAGCAAATCCCCCCAAACCTGATAAGTCTCATGCAATGGGGCATAATATCTGATTGCATGTCTGCAGGATTTTCTATCCCTGTCGGATCTGAGTATGGTCTTGAATAAGGCAGAACATTAACTTTTTGCCAGAAGTTCGTAACAGTCATAGAACAGGCTGCAAGGAAGCATCATTGGTTTTTGTTTGTTTGACATGCACAGTAGCTTAAAAGATATGTATGATTCCATCCCCCATGATATTTCCATTCCAGCCCTTTCCCTTAATTTTACTGATTAAAATATGCATGCTCATGGGCTCACAATGTCTCCCCCTTTTGCCAGAAGTTCGTAACAGTCATAGAAGAACAGGCTGCAAGGAAGCATCATTGTTTTTTGTTTGTTTGACATGAACAGTAGCTTAAAAGATATGTTTGATTCCATCCCCCCATGATATTTCCATTCCAGCCCGTTCCCTTAATTTTACTGATCAAAATATGCATGCACATGGGCTCACAATGTCTCCCCTATCTCACTCTTCAAACACTTAAAGGTATTACTTACTTATTTGGTTGCTTATAGAGCAATACTTATTATGGCTAGGATGACTCTTTCACTGTTTTTAAAAGCCCTGTGGGCTTGGGACAGCTGGGACAAAAGTTGTATGCCTGGTACTTTTCTATTTACACATCCCATAGATACTGTATCTATGGATTGTTATATTTCCTTCAGTGGGAGCAGAGCTTTGAAAAATTACCTTTCCAGACTACAACTCTGAGTCAGCAGGGCCTGTAGCCATGTGGAGGATTCTGAGAGTTTACAGTCCAGAAAACTGTTTTAAACTTTGAAGTGGGACAGCAAGTTGGTCTGTGAGCTCCAGTCTGGTGAAATGGAGCCCCAATTTCTCTCTAACTCAACAAGACACCCAAAATTTAGAAATATGCACAGTAACTCCCAAACATTAATGTCTCCCTGGGAAGATCTGTTTGGGATCACAGGTCTAGGGAAGTGATAAGTAGGTTTCTTCTCTCTCCTCCTTTCCACATGTTGGTTGATAAAAGGTTTCAGGTGGCCTTGTATTTTAATGGCATTTAATTAGCCTTTCAATGTATTTTGGAGGTTGGGATCATCTTCAAACTCTAGAAATGTGACCACATTGTGTTGGGACATACAACTGAACAAGATCCAGAGGACCACAGATCATCACTCAGTGTAAACCCTGTGTATTTAATGATAATGATATAAACACTACAGTGGGAGCAAGACAACATTTAAACAAGTAACTGCATGCAGAATTAAAAGAATACTTCTTGGAGAGGGAGCTCGTGGACCAGAGAGAGAGACTGAGAGACCCTGAAGAAGTACAAGGAAGTATCCCTCTGGTCAGTCTAAAAGCAGTTCTTGTCCAGATGCTCTTAGCTTAAAATGCAGGCCCTTCCTATTGGCTGCCTAAAGGTGGCCTTCTAAAGCCTGACAGGAAATCCTTTCCACCTTTAAGCAATCAAGGAATAGCTTTCCTGTTTCCTCTTCCTCCTCCCATCCCCTGGTCAGTCTTCCAAACAGCTGAACATGCCAGGTTGCTGTAAATTGTGCAATGGACGTGATGAATTTCGTGCTGCATTCTTTACATTCCCCTTGAAAGTATGTCTGCCAAAGGTTGGAATGCCAGGTGAACCATAAATTAAACAACTGGGCTTCTTCTGTTTCCACTGATAATATATTTAAAGCTCATTCATATTTTTCCAGTGGAATCTCCACAGGGGATGAAAAATGTTTTGAATCATATATGGATATAAGTCATATCAGAAATAATGGGTATGCAAATTACATGAGATTGTGGTTTTCTCTTCTAAAAGTCTTGTTCATCTTATGATGTTTAGATTCATAGTGTGAATGAAACCTGCTGGTTTTGGGTTTGTTTTTTTTAACAGAATGAGATTGGACAAATTCATGGAGATTGGCTATCATGGCTACTGTAAATCACTGCAGCCATAGGCTGCTTTTTCAGCATCAGAGGCTACGGGGTTCTCAATCACTGAGCAACACAGCCTGGAGAAGATCATTGTCTCCATGCCAAGGATCTAATCTCTCTCTGACCCATTCCTGCAGAGGAATTTTCCTTCCAGGGGTCCCTCCACAGCTACTGAGAAATATTATACCCTAATCAGTCCTCAATTTAAAGCAACATCCATTCACAATGGGAAACTCAGATTACTACCCTATTTATATATTTGAATATTATCATCATATACAGAGAGTGAGCGAGTGAGACTGCAAACTAAGTTTTTGGATACAATAGATCGTTAATATAAAACCAAGAATATTTTCAAGTTAAATTACTTTCACAAACCATTTTGTGTTACAATCCTTAGCTTATGACCACTGTTTTAATAATTATGGGTATAATTTGCTTTAATTGGTTTAAATGTTTGTGTGCTACTGGTATAATTACAAAGAATAGTACATGGTTATGTGTAGGCCTACAATAGTAATTAATCATACTACTGTATATCATACAATGGTGTCATGCATACAATGACATACCATTGGTTTTGCATCAAAGCATGGATACGATGCTATTGCAGTACAGTAAATGCCATCAAGAACTAGAACAAAGGGTCTGAGTTTCACTGCAGCCTAATGCTGAACCTGTCACTCTCTCCAGTCATAGCATACTTTATTGGATTAGTGTAAAAATAAAGGAGAAAGGAAGAGGTTTCAAAATGGCACTCGAAAGTTATACTTTGGGAAGTAGTGGAAATATAGGAAATGCCTGATGCATTTTGTTCAAACCTTCTTTACAGACACCATTTGGAATCATCTTTCAAATTAAGGCAAGCACAAGTAGAAAAAAATGCAAATGGCAGACTAAAAGATAAATCATAGAACAATGTGCTCCTTGCATAATTAGGTTGTAAACCGCTTTCAAATTAAGGCAAGCACAAGTAGAAAAAGATGCAAATGGCAGACTAAAAGAATCAGAACAATGTGTTCCTTGCATAATTAGGTTGTAAACCGCCGGGAGAGTGCTCTAGCACTACAGGGCGGAGTACAGATGGAAGCAACAAGTAAAAAACAACAACCATGATGTATGGTTGTATACCTGGCAGGCACATTGCACACGTTAAAAGATTAGCATAGGGTCAAAATACCGTACCCGATGTATTAGCATATGTCGGGAGAAACAACCTTAAGTTCTCCTCCCTTGTACTGCACTTTCTTTCTTTCTTGCTTTCTTTCTACACCATAGGCAGTGAGCAA